GTCCCCATCACCAGCTGCCTTGGCGACCAGTCTGCGGCGTTAGTCGGTCATTGTGCCTTTACACCTGGAACAGCGAAGAACACATATGGCACAGGATGCTTCCTTCTTTACAACGTTGGTGAGGAGCCCGTCATTTCTAAACATGGTTTGCTCAGCACAGTTGGATTCCAGTTAGGTAAGCATCGGAAAGCCGTTTATGCGCTTGAAGGTAGTGTGGCTGTGGCCGGAAGTGGTGTTTCCTTCCTGATGAACAACATGGGTTTCTTCCGTGATTCGCGGAAAGTGAGTGAAGTGGCAGCAACGGTTCCAGACAGCGGAGGCTGTGTGTTTGTCACCGCGTTCAGTGGTCTGTTTGCGCCATATTGGATTGATGATGCTAAGGGAACTATATGTGAGTCAATGCCGTGTCAGAAGCAGATGTACAGAATCAGTACTAATGTTGGTCTAGTCGGAATCACTCAGCACACGCAGCGTGGACACATTGCTCGTGCCACCATGGAAGCCGCCTGCTTCCAAACTAAAGCAATCCTCGATGCCATGGAGATGGACAGCGGACACGCATTGTCCGAACTCGCCGTCGATGGTGGTATGAGTAATTCCGATATTTGCATGCAGGTATGTCGCACTTAGTTTACTTTCCTAGAAAAAAAAGGGGCGGAAAATTAACTTCTTCCCTCAGACCCAGGCAGATATTATCCAGATCCCTGTTGAACGGCCAGCGATGCACGAAACCACCGCTCTAGGTGCCGCAATCGCGGCGGCATTTGCCATTGATATCTGGAAGGATTTCGGCGAGCTCAAGAACATGAACCGCGCCAATCGCACGACATTCCAGCCCCATATTTCCGCCGCTCAGAGCTCGAAGCTGTATAAGCGATGGAGCAAAGCAGTCGAGATGTCTCGAGGCTGGACGGACCCAGCTGATGAGGCAGAGGAGGAATGATTACATACATAAGCGACAAACGAGACCCATCTATATACATAATTCTGGGATGAGATTTGCGATTTAGCGTTGTCTTTATATTCTTCTTGATTTCCATGTCTTTGGGGTTTTGGGTACGGGCCAACTCGGCGGTGGAGTGTCTTTATGGATACCCGATCATTACATCAGATAGTTCTGGTAAATATTTAGAAATTCAATGCATATATAACCAGGCTAACCTTGCCATCATTCTTTGAGTCGAATAACTAAGGCTCCGGGAACGAACGACAAATTAGACAAAGGTATTACTTCATCGATAAGAACAATACTGTGTACACAGGGGTTGATTCAAGGTGTTTTATACTAGCCGAAGATCTCATGCATCATATGATATTAGCACACAGCTGTCTGCATGAATAGCGACAAGGCAGGGTGGGGGTGACCCTACAGCCGATCTTGATAGGTATGTAAGTAATACCGTGGACCAGTCGTCGTTCCTGCTCTGCCTAACGACCGGGTGAGTCAGGTGGTCAAAGTCACCTGTCAACAGCAGTTCCCCTCTTTCCACAGGTAAATAATCTCATTGGACTTTTCCTTGCCCTTCCTAGTAGTAGTTCTAATATTCCTCCGCCCATTCGATACACCTTCCTTTGAAAATAAGGCATCGACCAGGACTGTAGTCATATGGCTCTAAAGGAGGCCCGGTATCCTTTCATCAGCGCGGCTGGATATACTTAGCTAGGTAGGATAGACCGAATATAGAACGTGAGGTTAACATACAGTTTCTCATTGATACCCGTGTATGTACACTACAATACAGCCAAATCATTCGCTTGCCGTCGCTCACCTCTCAAATCCCATATGCCATATGTCATATGCACGGTTATTTAGTATTCCATCAAGGATAGATATCAGGAACAAAGACGAGTGGGAAAAATGAAGAAAAGAAAACGCAGAAATTAACACCGGAGACACTAAGAATAACATAATGGTCCAAGAAATTGGTCCATGAAAGCACCCAACAAGAAGGATCTTCATCCTTGATGCATTTAACAATCGACAAACGGAGAGGAGTTATAGAGAGAAAAAGGAAAAGGAGAGGGTTTCCCTGTAAGCTAGGAGGATGAATCGAGGAGCCGCTTAATTGACATCCGACGCAGTCGACGTCGGCGGCCCTTCAGCCGAGGTGGACGGGTTCAACCTGGCCGCCTGTAGGGCTTCGGGCAGTTTGAGCGGCGCCGCTGCTCTCGATTCCAACTTCTCGAGCTTCTCACCTTTCAACACCTTCTCCATCTCCTCCTTGGTCAATGTTTCGTACTCAATCAACGCCTTGGTCAGCAATTCCAGCTCATGGCGCTTTTCGGTCAGAATGTTCGTAGCGCGCATGCGGGCTTCCTCGACAAGGCGTCGAACTTCGCCTTCGATCTCCTGCTTAGTCTCAGAGGACAAGCTGTCATAGTTGGTGGAAAGGTCAACATTTCCGAGTTTCTTGGAGTACCCAAACCGGGTTACCAGAGTGAAAGCCGTCTCCGTGGCTTGTTGAATATCCTACAGACGATTAGCGAATAGTCCCAAATTATGAAGACCGCGAGAAGCTTACCGCTGAGATGCCGCTAGTGACCTTGTCAGGCCCAAATATAAGCTCCTCTGCTGCCTTACCGCCCATGGAAACGTCGATGTCAGACAAGTATTCAGTATAGTTCCTGGAAACTGTATCCATCTCAGGCAAGAAATGGGTCACGCCCAAAGCCATCCCGCGAGGGACGATGGTGATCTTGTAAAGTGGCGTCGAAGAGGGCGAAAAGTAAGCAACCAGAGCGTGGCCAGCCTCGTGGTACGCGGTAAGAAGCTTGTCCTTGTCTTGGATAACCCGGCTGCGAGCTTCTGCGCCCATCATAATTTTGTCTTTCGCCCAGTCAAAGTCCTTCGGGCCAACCTTTGCCTGTTTGTTCCTGCTTGCGAAGATGGCAGCCTGGTTGACGAGATTCTCCAGATCAGCACCAGAAAAACCAGGGGTACCGCGCGCAATGACAGCAACATCAACATCCGTGCTGATTTGGACCTCTTTCATGTGGTGTCTGAGGATATCCATACGGCCCCGCACATCAGGAAGATCAACAACTACCCGTCGATCAAATCGACCGGGTCGAGTCAATGCCTTGTCAAGCAACTGAGGGTAGTTTGTTGCGGCGATGATGATCACCCCACTGGTCTGCGAAAATCCGTCAAGTTCCGTGAGAAGCTGGTTCAGTGTCTGTTTGACGTAGGCCGCATCCCTTTCGTTCCTTTTCGCACCTATGGCATCAAGCTCATCAATGAAGATGATGGCGGGTGCCTTGCTTCGTGCTTGGGTGAACAGTTCACGGACACGCTTGGCACCGACACCAACGTACACTTCGTCGAACTCAGAACCAGACATGTAGAAGAAAGGTACACCAGCTTCCCCTGCCACGGCACGAGCCAGCAGCGTCTTTCCGGTACCAGGAGGGCCAACAAGAAGCACGCCCTTCGGTAACTTGCCACCAAGAGAGGAAAATCGTTCTGGGTTCAGCAGGAATTCAACCAGCTCCTGGAGTTCTTCCTTAGCTTCGTCGCAACCATGCACATCGGTGAATCGGACGGTCTGTTGCTGAGGCTGAGCTTCGTTGTTCTGAGGACCCTTGATATTCTTCAGAACGCCGGTAGTTTCCACGAGGATAGTAACCAAGACCAGAGACATGTACGTGAAGAAGCCAAAATATAACAAGAACTTGACCCATCGGAATACGGCGCTACCTAGCGACTCCTCCACAACGACATATAGCGGAGCCTCTTTGGCACCGGTGCCGTTTGCCTTTGTCGACACACCGACATTACCGCCGTGGTTCTGAGCCGCAACAGCCTGTCCGATAGCTTGGAGTTGTTCAGAGTTGAGATTCGAGTTACCAACTTGACCCGACGCCGCAGCCGATAATGCAGCGGCATCTGTTCCACCGACACGTTGTAAAGCCTTGAGATAAATCGCTTCCGAAAGAGCATTGGTAGCAAAATGACCACTTTTATACCGTTCAACAACAATTGCTGGCATATTGGCTCGAAGAAGGGCCTGATAGAAAGCATTTTGGGCGTTTGCACTATTGGGGTTGCTGTTCGCAGTTTTCTCTTTCTGCGCCAATAAACCGTGGGATGGTCCTCCAAATATGAAACGCTGCTGCTGCAACCTTGAAATCCCTATAGCACTAGGCACGTGGCGGAGACGGTCCAATGATGTCCATGTAGAGTAGGAGCGAAATGACGGCGAGCGGAGTTGACGAGAGACAAGAGATGGAGCAGTCCAAAGTGTAGATTCTGACAAAAGCCCACCGTATTAAGCAATTTAAACGGAAGTAATACAAGGGAATAACGAGGCTTACCTTTGGAGAAAGAACGAGACCAGAGATGGTGCGCGGGTTTGCTGCATATCCCCGGCCCCAAGGCTTCAGAGGGCACCGTGTCGAGAAACTCCGGCAGCGAAACATGATTTGACCCCTACAGTATCGTCAGTAAAATCCATTCATCATAACGCTAAATCATCCCTTAAAAGTATGCCGCTGGTATGCCGCTGAAACTTACTTCCTCAGCCGTGCGTTGAAAGAGGCCCTGGGAGGCGGCGGGACCGGAGGTAGCAGGGCTGCGCTCGACGTTCTTCCAAGGCGCATTGAGAAGCTTCGAAATCGAAGGCCAAATATCTGATGTCGCAGCCGAAAGATTCTGGTTGGTAGTCGAAGAGTTAGACAAACGATTCCAACAAGCACGAAAACAGGTGGTGTTTACAGGCTTAGGAATCGGAAGTTGAAAGGCCATGGTAGACCGAAGGCGCGGCGCAGGGCCGCGGAGCAGGATCTACCCCTCGGAGATATATGAGAGAACAAAGACTAGGCGAGATGCGGTTAACAATTATGTCTTCGTGGGCGCAAATGCCATCACTGATCAGATCAGGAGCAGGTGATGGCTAAGATAAGAACGTCGGATGGGTGAACAATAACGATGATGGCATCTTCATCGGTGGATGCGGCGGCGAAATTCGCCCGTCGGAACATTGCCACTTCGGCCCAAATGTTCGGCCGTAGGGGGAACTGAGTCACGTGGGATCCACGTGCCTCAGGCATGACGGGTCTTCTACACAGTAAAGCAACTTTGGCGTCATATGGTGACCTAATATATTGTGTATCCTCTTTTAGAATCGCAAGATTTGTCCTTTCGATTCGAATGTTGTCATGCTTGTTATTCGGAGAAATCCGTGTTACAGTATCGTAAAATCATGAAGGTCTGTTTGGCAGCAATCCATGGTTCAGATCGGTTCCTTCTGAACCACCGGACATCATAGACCGTCCTCGTCATCGCACACTATTTCAATGTTTATTTACTAGCACAAAGCCTGCGGTGTTCAGACATATAACCAAGACTTAATACTCCTGCTCTCAATGTTCCCGTCATTCATCGGCTGGAATCTATTCACATCTGGCGAGTTCGTCACCTACAGAAACAAAGCACCCCCATTCGGGGCGCAGAACATCCATAACACTGCTATTCGTTGATTGATGGTCATTTTTCCAGTTTTATCCCTACAACTATGTCTAGAAAGGTCATTTTTCTCATGGGAGCCCCCACGATACGAAGCCTCCAGTGGAACGAAGATGAGCTTCTCACGGCGCCCATCCCTCCATTTCATAGTTCGGATACTCACAGTGGAGACGATTGGCCTTTCATAGATCCTGATCCTGTAAAATGGAGGTTATTACAGGATGAAAGATCTCCGGCGGCACTTGGCGAAAACCTGGGATTAGGTATAGATAGAGGCGCTCGCTTCTTTACGACTCAAGATCTTGTAACGCCTAGGGGCTTATCAACTGCCGCAAATGATTCAACTCTCACCCAGTTTTACGACCATTCTTTCACCGTTCATGAAACGTCTGAGATTACTACCCCGGGCGTCCATCTCGGGGATTCCATGAAAGAAAGTGACGTATGGGCCGACAGCACAGGGACTTCTATCGCAACAGAAGAATCCCTTGGGTTGGAGTTGCCCATCCAAGGAGGTATTACAGATCTTCAAAACGTTCCGGGCGCTGCGTTCTTGACATCCATCGTGCCACAAACTATGACGGTGAATCTCATCGTCGGAATTGTTACAATTCGACCACCGCGTCGCATTGTAACGCGGCGATGGAAGAACGAACTAGACCTTATCGAAATGGTTGTGGGAGATGACACAAGAAGCGGGTTCGGAGTTACGTTTTGGCTTCCCCGCATGGAACAAAGGATCGGCCCAGATCATCATGATGAGAGCCATGAGCTTCGCCAAATGCTGGAGACTTTGCGGCCGCGAGACATTGTGTTGTTGCGCATGGTAGGATTGAGCACCTTCCGGGAACGGGTTTACGGGCAGAGTCTCAGGAAAGGGACCACCAAAATCGATCTACTCCATCGACAGCGGGTCGACGTAACAGATGCGGGTGGTATGTACAGTGCAAAGAGTCTCATGAACCATGATACGACAGCCAAGAATGATGAACTACTGCGGGTGAAAGCAAGAAAGGTGCGCGAGTGGATCAGACGTTTCGTGAGCACCACGACGGATTCAGCAGGCGGTGACGCAAGGAAGCCCACGAAACGTGGACCGACTTTACCTCCAGATACGCAAGAGGATTCGTTGAGGTTATAATTAGAAACAACTCTGTAGAAAGAGGTTATGTATGTATTTAACATACCTGAAGGTAAGGTTACAGAAAGATCACTAAGAGCGCATATTTTAAACTTGATTCTTGACAACTGATCAGGAGATACAGGGACGGAATCCCGACTCCGAATACCCCGTAGTACATACTACTTACCTTTCGCAGTTGTACCTATCACATTGAGTGCAACGCTAAGGAAATCATAGTCGTGTCGTAGGGGGTAAGATTGCAGGATGTTAATAAAGTTTATTCGCATATGCATTCATCTACAGTATAAACATCATGCTCTACATGAAAAAGAAAAGAAAAAATAAGGTACTTCCTGTAAGGAAACCGCGACCAATTCCCGTCAATGCAACTCTGTCATCCAGTATAAATTTGAATGGATACCTCCTTTTTCTTTCGTTTGTTTTTTAAAAAATGTTGTGTAAGAACTTTTGCTCCTTACAGGATGTTCCTTTAAATTTAGGGGGTGTATGGAGTAATGGCCCCACGAAGCACCTGATCCGACTTCCCGAATGAGATCTAGGCCCAGAGGCTGTACCCGCAATACTGTACTGTAATTCGTCGGGGACGGTGCATTGTGGCGCTGGCTGCAAACGTGCAAGGGCGGACCTCTTTTCTTGGTGGTACCTGATACCTTACCATACCATGTCCGGCACCCCCTAAACCATGTGCATCTAATACAGGTACATCTCTCATACATACATGCTGGGCCTCCAACCGCCAGGTGTTCATTGCTTGTTATAATTGATCTTTATTTTCCTCTCCTCCTCCTTTTCCTTCCTTCTTCTGGTTGACATCGTTCGATCTGTCAACGGCCGTTCCCTCGACCGATTGATCTCAGTCCCCATCTTCACTTTACACTGTCATCGTTCTCTCCCTCGTGCGGAATTGCAATCTAATTCTTTTTCTCCCCCTCCTTTCGCTTTTACCCCCCTTATCCCTCGGTCACTCGTTCAAAACAACCGTCGCCGCCGGTTCCTACAATATACCACCCTATTAACACTTCTCTCTCTTAACTTCGTCCCATTATATAGTCATGAAGGGTATGTGCTCCTCTCGGTACAGTATCCACTCCTCTTTGCTAACTTCATTTCATTGCAGCTCTCATTCTTGTCGGAGGGTTTGGTACCCGTCTCCGTCCGTTGGTGAGCAACCTTCCCCCGCCGACGATCGTGACATAGAACATACCGGCTCCCTACGAACCCATACTGACAGATATGATCGTTTAACTAGACATTGACCCTTCCCAAACCCCTGGTGGAATTTGGGAACCGTCCTATGATTCTGCACCAAGTCGAGAGCTTGGCTGCTGCTGGTGTCACGGATATTGTCCTGGCTGTTAACTACCGTCCGGATGTCATGGTTTCGGCCCTCAAGAAGGTTTGTCCGCGAAGAAAAAAAAAAAAAAAGTGTCAGCCCCCATGCCCATGCTTACTGCAACTAGTATGAGGAACAATACAATGTCCGAATCGAGTTCTCCGTCGAGTCCGAACCCCTGGGCACGGCCGGTCCCCTGAAATTAGCGGAGAAGATTTTGGGGAAGGACGACTCTCCATTTTTTGTTCTAAACTCCGATGTCATCTGCGATTATCCTTTTAAGGAGCTGGCTGAGTTCCATAAGAACCATGGTGACGAAGGCACCATTGTTGTTACTAAGGTCGACGAGCCCTCCAAGTATGGTGTCGTTGTTCACAAGCCCAACCACCCCTCGCGCATCGACCGTTTTGTCGAAAAGCCTGTTGAATTCGTTGGCAACCGTATCAACGCCGGTATCTACATTATGAACCCTAGTGTGCTGAATCGCATTGAGCTGCGCCCGACCTCCATTGAGCAGGAGACATTCCCCGCTATTTGCAAGGACGGACAGCTCCACTCCTTTGACCTGGAGGGTTTCTGGATGGACGTTGGGCAACCTAAGGACTTCCTCAGCGGCACGTGTCTATACCTCACTTCCCTTGCCAAGCGCAATTCCAAGCTGCTCGCACCCAACTCCGAACCCTACGTGTATGGTGGCAATGTTATGGTTGACCCCTCTGCCAAGATTGGCAAGAACTGCCGCATTGGTCCCAATGTAGTCATTGGCCCCAACGTTGTGGTCGGTGATGGAGTTCGTCTGCAGCGTTGTGTGCTTCTAGAGAACAGCAAGGTCAAGGATCATGCCTGGGTTAAGTCAACCATTGTCGGATGGAATAGCTCCGTAGGCCGATGGGCTCGTTTGGAGAATGTTACCGTGCTGGGTGACGACGTTACTATTGCAGACGAAGTCTATGTTAATGGTGGATCCATCCTTCCTCATAAGAGCATCAAGCAGAACGTTGATGGTAAGTGGTCACTTCGCTTTTCTAACACGTGTTGATTCTGACCTTCTCTACCAGTCCCCGCCATCATTATGTAAAACCCCTCTTCTCATGTCGACATGTCCTCAAATACTTTACTTCCAGTCGCCTACACCTCGAAGCCGCCCGATGCATAGAACCGGAGTCGGTTTGTTTTACTTCAATTGATTTCAACCAGGCCTGAGCCTGCCAGGATTTCTTGGTCAAGGTCATGACCAATTCTTGGAATACACGGCGGTCCTGACACCTTTCTATTTACCTTCCCCCTTCTTGCATAAATCTTTTATTCCATTTCCTTATCCTGCTCCACCGTACGCAAACGCTGAATGCCTTGATGGCGAAAGCGCTGCCCTCTACAGAATTTTAGTAATCATGCTTCTTATGTTTCTTCACTATACGTGTTGCTGCCGACCCGTTGACTGCCTTGCGCCGAATCTTTTCTTTTTATATTCTAACTTGTTTGACATTGCTCTGAGACCATTCAATGTTGTGTTTCTTTATTTCAATCTTGCGAACACGTTTGTGCTTTCCTCGTTGCACCGTATCTGCTTGGGGGATAGTGGGCTAATACTTTATCGGATTCTAATGATGTATGTGGACACGGGGTTAAGGAATGTAAATATGGGAGGCAGAATCAGGGGAAAAAAGAATACAGTGCATTTGTGCATTTCTGACAAAGAACTAGCGAACGGCCTGCGCCTTGTACAAGAAATCACATATGCGAAGATTGACATGGTATCTATCGTATAATATTACAACCCGAGATGCGACTTTTATGCGACATTAGAATCCCAGACCGAAATCATCGGGGCTTACTTCATCCAGATCAAGAATTTTATCCCACTCAATTCTCAACTCCTCCATTTTCTGCCAGCACTTTCTCCCCAGCTCTTCAAACTCCTCCTTGTCTTCCGCTGTAAGGTCCACCGCGCCTCTTTTCCGCCGACGCAACCGATCCTCATCCACAATAGCGGGGCCAACGACACCACCATACCCCCACCCGTCAACTTCAGTAGATGCCGCAGTATCCTTGCCGAACCTGTTGGTAGAGGAACCCCATTTCGCCCTACCGCCACCATTCTGCCGGTACAGCGACTCAGCCGTGTCCAAAACAGACTGAGCGGACAACGCTAGCCACACAGGAGCACAGGCACCTAGATAAGTCGACACCGTATGCCAGGGGGACCCTAGCAACCGGGCCAAAAAGCTGATGGCAAGCATTGAGTAAAAGAGCGGCCAGGAAAGCGGGATGATACCCGTGCCACAGATTCCGGGGTGAGAAAGGTACGTATTCGGGGCCGAGTTATCGTCATTAGTGATTCTAGGTCTTCCAAATCCACTATTATAAGTCCTGTTATCGTCGACGGAGTAGAAACCCTTCACGAAGGGCTTGGTACTGGGGAGGTCGGCCGTCAGCGCCAAGATGTCGGTCAACGCCTTGGAAGATTCGTAGGGCGCCGTGGTCTGGAGACCCTGGATATCGTCGACGTCGAACAACTTCACCGTGGCTTCTATACTGGAGACCCAGATGACGCGGCCGGGGCCGTTGGGTTGTCCTGACCGTCGCAGCAGGGGCATGACATTGTGCGCTAGCATGTAGTGGCCGAAGACGTTTGCGCAGAAGACGGAACCCAGGCGGGGCTCTTGGGTTGCTAGCGTCGTGGTCTGATAGTCTGTTACCATGCCGATGGGGGCGATCTTGTATGAGGGCCAGGAGACTTCGTGGACAAGATCGGTGAGGACGCCCCAGACGGCTCGCGGCCAGTTCAGGGCTGACCAGCCGCCGATGCCGGCATTGAGCATGATGGCGTCGAGTTTGGGGTACTCATCATTCAGGCGGCGGGAGAGGGCGCGGACGGAGACGAGGTTGTTTAGGTCTACGCTCTCCGGGACGAAGGTTACCCTTCTGGTGGGGGGGAGTGTTGCGGAGGTTTTGCGGAGATGGTCCTGGAGACGGCGGAGAGTATCATTTCCTTTCTTGGGGCTTCGGGTGGTAAAGATGACGGTTAACGATTGGTTTGTGCGTTGAGGGGAGCTGAGGAATTCATCGACTAGACGGCAGCATATCGAGAATCCGAGACCACTGTAGACCGAGTTAGGGAGCTGAACGTGATATAGGGGTTGATTGGTGCGGGAGATGAGTTGGGACTTGAGGATAGAGGAGTGCGGTACCTGTTTGCACCAGTGACAAGGATATAGACCTTTTCCTGGAGATCCTCGTCGGTTCCGTAATTGAACATGATGGGCCAATTGTTGGTTTGGCGTCCGTCGGGAAGGAAGATTTGATGAAGGATGGAGACTAGTAATTGAGATTCATGGGATGTGTTCCTGTGCGCTAGGCCTAAGCGGGATTAGTTCCCTAACCTTATGTGTGCCTGGATTGATTGGCTAATCCCTTTTCAGTTGGCCAAAAACTGTGTGTAGCTTCAACGTAAGGTTCCATATTTCGAGTATATGATCAGTGTGAGGAATAATAGCGAACGGGTTGATAGTACGACCAAGTAAGACTTAAAATAAACTTCTTGTCGTCTTTGGTAGGGCGAGATACAAACCTCACTCATGTCTAGCTTATTTTTATACAGGTCAGCTTTCCTGCTGGAGGGTTCCATAAACATGTAGCAAGTTATCTATTCAAGGAGAGAGTACAGAAAAACAATGCCGGGCACATGGAAGCTATATACAGTTGTAAAATCAAAGGAAAGATATCGTCATAACCCCATCAAATGCGTAAGTACCCACATTGATAACTCTATCAGGAGCTTTCGAGCACTTTTTTGAGCCAATTCAGACGGACAGCCCCCGCCTGCAGACTAATAGGCGCATCTGGCACAAACGCATCGAAGCCGTGCCAGCAACCAGGCCATACATGCAACTCTGTGGATACACCAGACTTCCACAAGTTCGCAGCATAAGCCATATCTTCGTCACGGAATGCGTCCGCCTCACCAACGTCAATGAATGTGGGTGGCAAACTGTAGAGGTTCGTAGCGCGCGAAGGAACGGTATACATATCAGCATGCTCGTGGTTCTTGCCAAGAGCGTATCTCAAGGCATCAATAGTGTTCAACCCAGTCCAGGGAGCGATGTCACCAAATTGCTGTACAGAATGCCCCTGGTTACTATCGTCGAGTAACGGATACATTAGTACTTGAGCGCAGACTTCAGGCCCCGATCGGTCGCGAGCCAGTAACGTAACCCCGGCAGCGAGATTCCCGCCTGCCGAGCCACCACATACAACCAATTTGCGCGGGTTGAATCCAAGTGCTGTTGAGTGATTGCTCATCCACTGGAGTGCTGCGTAACTGTCCTCCAGCGCTGCAGGCTGGGGATACTCAGGAGCGAGGCGGTACTCGGCAGTCACAAGGGTAGCACCGAGAGCCTGGACCCAGTCCAACATGCCGATGACTCCTACGAAGCGATTCCCGCTGACCAGCCCACCTCCATGCATGCAAAGGACTCCCGGTGTCTCTTCTATCCGCTGGGTCTCGTTCTTTGGACGAAATATCGTAGCCCTCATCGGTCCGGCTGGCCCTGGGATGTCTCGTTCTTCGTAAGAGAGCACATCCTCTCTGCCTCGGATCGCATCCTCCAGTGAGAAGGACGATCCTAAAAATTGACGGTAAGATTCGAGCTCTTCCTTGGTGCTCATCCCAATCTTTGGGAGGGCTTGATGCACCTGGGCAAGCTCTGAATTAAGTTTAGGTCGCGGAATTTGAGAAGACATGTTTGGGTTGGTGTATAGATACAAAGGGTCTTTATGCTGCAAAAGGAAAGGGGCTTAATCGAACTGTGAATCGAATAGTAGTGGTTATTATGGTGATGTATACGATGCGATGACTTGAAGCTCTGTCCTTGCATTCCATCCTCCCCCAAGCTTTATGTAGGAACAATCCATGGTGACTGATCCAACAAAGAATTCCATAGATACTTCGCAGCCCGAAAATGTGTCCGCGTAGTTAGTCAGATAAGATTTGACTAACTATAGGCAAAAGTCTCCGTGGCTAGTACACTTTGGGTAATGTCACATAAGCAGCCACAATCAAACCGACTCGGAGACTTTCACATTCTGTTGTAATCCTTCCGCTGTTTATCACTATAAGGCGCTCGCATATTGAGTCAGGATTTATGGTTGAAGCCAACCATGAGAATGTATGATGTTATCGATTTGCTGGTTGCGACTTGGCATCAATTCTTTTGCCTTGACCATATGGATCTAGTTGACGCTTTCGTCTGCGTTATAGTGGCGCTCTCAGGGCAAATAAATTCACGCAGCGGTGTTGTAGCAGCTGTGTTAGGCAACAAGCTATGTACGAATAGTCGTTAGAAAAGCGTATAAATTGTCTTGAGGAAGGGGCGATAATTGAGGTAGATGCCGTACACTTTAATATTCTGTGTAGAATCGCGTGAGCTTTCGTCAGGCTCGGAAACCATACCAAGGGGTTTGTCTCACCAATTCCACAATCTCTCCCAAAGATCCCACGATACTTCTGACTCGCCGTCCTATTCAAAGGTCTAGCGATTGCTCAAGGTTAATATCTAGGCGATATTGAGAGTTGCCGTTCTCGATGATCACCATTGCAATTTTTTTTTTTTTTCGCTGAATTACTCACAATTTGGTAAACCTCGTTGTGAGCTGTTTTACCGAGTAAGGCCTGCAGCCAGTCGTTAGGTGAAGTGCCTATTGGGTCAATTTTCCTTGTCTCTGAGGCATTTGCTCATCGCTTGGGGAATCTGCTTAATCAGAACATCCTAAAACATATCCTGATAGTTATTCCACTTGGGAATAAACTTATTATGTTTGCATTATCGGATACTTTGGTCACGCATCTGTTGGAAAATGAGGCCAGTCAGAATTTGTGAGCTGAGGAAAGGGGTCTAGTTATAGATGAATAGCTCCGGTTTTTCTAGGATCAAACTCTTGACATAACGGTAGTAGCACGCGTTTAGGCCTAGCCCAGAAGCCACCTACTCGTCTCCTGAAGGGCCAAATAACTCTTCCAGAAGCCTGGACTGAATCGTAAGAAAGCACCTTTTGAGTGCCATCCCCAGCAAGTTAAGGAGCAAAAATGGCACCTCGATATCAAACTCTAATCAACCGTGACCTTCCATGGTCCAGTGTCGAACAAATTTGATTGACTGAAAGTTTTAGCCCCTCCGGATTATGAGGTAATGGAGCGCCCCGGGGAACCCATGTTGAGACTTCAGGACAGATCTTGTGGCTTTCGATTCTTATATCCTTCATTTAGAGTAATGCAAGCCCCTGTGGCGTTGCCCTCGAGTGTGTCTGAGTAACCGAAGGGTCAATTAGCCACGATTGATCACGGAATCGACTGGTATGATGACCGTAGCTGTTATGGTGGACTCTCTGAGATGCAAGGATTGAAATTAAACATGTATGTATGTATGTACGTACTTCTCAGTGGTTGGAAGGAATGCTGAAGTACAATTCTGAGGTACAATGAGGAAACGTACTGAAAATTCCAGGTTGTGAGAGAAACTGATTGTGTTTGTGAATGAACCCAGAGAGTAAATTACAAAAGAAATCCCGTGACTTTAGCTGCACAGCTGAGATATGGAGTCTACTATTCATGTGGTTGACTGATGTATACCGCCAGTATTAGTACAAAACAAACATTACTTCTGCAAGCGGTCTAGGCTTCCTTATTATACACCAAACTTCACTGATAAAACATATTGTAAGGTAAAAGAACCATACTCACTATTGAAACAAATAACTAATAACCTAGTTTAAAGTGATTTGTTTACTGAAAGAGTGGTGCGAACACAAACAAAAATGAAGAATAGTCCAACCGGCGGACCTCTCGCATATGTACTGTATTAAGCCAGCCCAAAGTGAGGTTTATACCTCTAGGCCATCCAGGCGATTATACAATATATCTATCTAGTTATGTATGATAGCTGGAAACCTGCAGGCAAAAGCTGTAGGAGAACGTTGGCCATCATACCGCCTTTTTGTCCTGTTACACAAGACCGGTGGTCTCAACGGTGATCTGCTTGGCAGTGGTGAGGAATTTATACAGGTCAACTGCGGCTCGCAGAGCAGCAGAGGTCCTCTATCCAGGATCACTTCGTATGTAAAGCATCAGTTTTAGTATAGATTGTTAAAACCTCTCTATACAGCTGTGCTCATAGAGTCAGGAAACTCATGCCTACCGTGTTGATTAACAATTGTTACCGCCGTGAGTATACATACATACATACATACGTACATACATACATACATATATATACATATATATATATATATCTCCAAGGATGTAGAGGCAGATATATAACCCAGGTAAGGCTTGGAATCGCTCGCATACTTCGGCATGAACATCAAATCAATGATTGTCTATCACTGTGAATACCCTGGAGCGCGAATCATACCACTAGCCCATCCGGGCTGAAGTTATCTTCTATGTGCTATAAGGAAACCAAGGAAAGCCCCTGTGAAAGGGTTGCTTTATAGGTATGTTATACTTCTAGTAGAGTAAAATGGCAGGCTGGGGGAGATTCTTAGCTTATAATTATATTTGAGTCAGCCTGTTAGGTGACTAAATCGAAGTTGAGTAAGGATGTTTGATAATAAACCTGCAGTGCAGTGAATGTTAACACTTCTGAGACATAGTCAGTACATATAGTATATTGGATGCAATAGAGCAATTGAAATTATTGACCACTACAGCATAGTCTCAAAGGTACATTTACACATACCGACAATCAAAGGGACCACTTAGCGAAAGACCAGTTGGATATGGAGTCGTTAGCACTGAGCGCGAAGTTCAAGAATGACAGCCAAGCGATGTATAATGTAGATATTAAAGCCGTAAAAAGAGGGCGGTAAGAAAGCATGTTATAGGCAACACCAGAACAAATCACCGCGGAACAACACATAGTGTCGTCGTAATGAAATAGTGGCATGGCAAGAATGGCTGGAATAGCGGCGGTATATAGCTCAACAACAATGTTCTCATTATTGAGCAAGGTACCTCCTACTATCCAGGTCCGGATGTGCAAAGAATGTAGTCTCCTGTATATACCTAATCTCGAGACCATCGAAGTTTCCACATGCTCAAATGCATCGGTGATGGCCATCCCTGCATGCATCTTCTCCTATCTGCAGCTGCGAACTGGAAGAGTCAGATTGCGTCTACTCGGAATACCTCCAGCAATTAAGGCCCGGTTCCCAATAACTACGGGTCACTTGAGGATGCTTAACCATGGCGTATGGCTTTCCTTCCATGTTACCATGAAACAGGCAAATATTTGCTACTGTGACATTCAACACACCACGTTATCAGATGCCTAAGCCTATAATTCGCTCCCAGCAAGCCACTTGCAGCTCTACCCCTGACAATAATTGATACAAAAGGCATAGTAGTATCAGTCTTCTGAGCGATGTACCGACAGTTAAGACAGTTTTGCTATACGGGGGAACGAATGCTGGTTAATGATATTGTAATTAATGCTTGTCAGCAATCGCGCTTAACAGCGAAGATCTCTGAGCACAAATCGTTGCTAGAGCTCCTCCCACGGATGTATTAGCGCAGTACAAGGATAACTCATTAAACATTGGGTGATATGAATGGATCCCCGGCTATAGTATTCTACATATACTGGGGGCAGTCAGAGTGGATTGGATAGTGTATAAACCGCATTGTATTATTCCGACTGATGACTTAATAAACAGTACAGTGCATAACTAAATATGCTCAAGGGCATACATATGACTCAATCCATGTCCTGGGTTGGAACAAGACCAACTCCTACGGAGTGGATTGCGGTCCCCCAAAATCTACATATTAGTACGTCAATCTACCTATGCCGCTGTCCACGAGGTCCTCACGAAGTAAAGATCCAGACAGCAACAGACAAAAAGAGGGAAAATTAAAAAATAAAATAAAATAAAATTAAATTAAATTAAACTAAAAATCAAACGAGAGACGAAGAACTCTACGAACCGCTGGTAGTCATTATCAAAAGCCAATCTGCCAATGCAATATCTACTATGAACGAGCAAGAAGGAAACCAAGGAAGTCTGGCCATCGATCAGTAAGCCCGTCAGCATAGAAGCGAGGCTACCTGCATAGAGAACAAATAGCTGGATGGAACACAGCCACTCCGAAGGAAGATCCATGTCAGCACGAGCTCATGGCTATTGCTAAGAAACTTAGTAGGCTTGGTTAGTCTGGCTGTCAAACGAAATGCGGTCTTGTTTGTAATTTAGCTACGTATTTGAAAGTCGTTTGAGTTTCTCTCTTTACGAAGCTCGGTCATGACTGATATCATAACTAAGAAATCAATCAGACTTGGGCAAGCCGAGGAGATATGGGGGGGAAGAGGAGAAAAGGAACAGAACGAAAGAGGAAAATCAAAATTACACACGACTAACTGACTCAATATGGAGCCTCAAATGCCTCAATTCAATTACTAGTCAACCAGTGCTTTTTTTTTTTTTTTTCTCCGTGAAATTCCGTGGCTGCAAGGGGGCCAAAAGAAAAAAGGTTACCTACCACAATGCTGGAGATTTGTACCGAACATTTTGCCCCCGCGCTCTAGATTATTACTATAGACAATGACATCTGAAGAACTTCGGGGAAAATAAAAAGGATTAAGATAAAGTAAAAAAGAAAATAAAAAGAAAAGCCAATGTGCTTCATGGATACTTGTCCACTTACTCACCGACAATTCTTCGGTGATATTCGGTGTTTGAGGTTGAATCTTTCATTCAAAGGAACTAATGAAGGCAGATGATGAGAATTACGGCTACGGTCATGATTTCTCGATTAACAGCCACAAGGTACAGGATTCGATGGCGTGTGATTCCACTCTTGGCTCCATAGGGCCAATTCATGTCTTTCTTTCCTGCCTGTCCATTTCTTTCCTTTTTTTGTCTTTTTTATATATATATTTTTTATTCTATTTTATTTTTTGTCTCTCCCTTTGGATCCATCGTACCTATATTATCATCCGATCGTTAATTAAAAATAAATAACTATGCAATCGTCTAACCCCCCTCACAAGCCCACCCGGGCCGTTTTGACTAGAGTACTATTAGTAGTGTGAGTGCGACGGAAAACATGCAAATCGGAGATTTTCTTTCTGGGCGCCGCCCTATCGAACGTTGCATGGAGCACACGTATGTATGTATGTCTTAACACCGCCAAAGCATAAGGCATACCTCTGTCCATTGCTTACTTTCTCCCTCCACCCCCGGCCTTATGCACGATGAAGCAATGGGCTCGTTTCAAGGGCGGAGTAATCCTACGATCCATGGACAATGCCGCGGCAAGACTGGAATCCTAACTCGTTCTAATGCCAAGGGACACATGATTCTGTGATTTGAAACCTATGATGCAGTAGTCGCAAATGGAGAACAAGGTCCGTCGAGGGTCTAATCGACTTGCGGGAAAGTACTGCGAGTCATATGCGCATCTGCGGAGGAGAGAAACTGATTGCAGTACTCCGCTGTCACTTCCCATTAGCTTGTAAGCTGTCTGCATGGTATCTCTGTTCCTACTTCCACCAAGAAAAGTGGTAAGGTACCCTGGGGGTCGATGTGCAGGAGAATTTGATCTAGTGATGGGTTACGGCACTCGATGAATGGATCGCTTCATTCCTTTCCGTTTCCGCGTGTGACAAGGGAAACTAAAGCCACCCTTCATCTTATTTTGAACGACTGAATTCAAAAGAGAAAGCGATGCGGGGTATGGGAGGTTTAACTCACCTGTGCCTGTTACTCGGATATGCAGCCAATGACACCCGGTTTCAATCGATAAGACCCAAAGAAGAGACGGGATGGGAGGAGGATGATAAACGAGTCAAGAGTAGAGGATATTGTTTCCTTTCCTGACATCTGTTAATCATTCAGCATTTGACATCAGCATCCAGGGATTCTGACGGATCCTTTCCTATTCAAAACAAAAACATGAGAGGAAAAGGTCTGCGGCTGGACTTGGGAACCTAGACTAAACTCACTAGTGCGATGGTCAGTAAATCGGTCAGGTAACTTCGTCGACTTGGCGACACCATTACTAAAGATACATTAGCTAGCTAGTAGATAGAAAGCTATCCTCCGTTCATAATCCACGTTGATTGTTGGTTTCTGGCCTTGGGGTTTCTGGGCCACGCGCGTATCCATCGCCCGCAGCTCCAATCCCCTCATACGATCGAACCATTACGAATCTCTCTTTGATCCATGTCAGACTCGCTACCAGACTGTTGGAAAGAGTGTGGCAGCAGCCAAACTCCTTCGACCGCGTTGATAGGCAGAACACGAAGTACATAGTATTGGCAATAATCATGGCAATTTGAATAATACGAGGGGCAACAGACTTCATGTCAGGGTTTTGATCTGACACATGACCCTTTTCCCTCCCCTCCCAAATGCTATGCATTGCAGTGGGCTGCAAGAGAACCAATGACCAGGTCGTTGGGTGTAACTTATAGAGGAAAAAGCTGTACCAGTCGCAGCACAATGACGTTATAGTCAGCCTGGCGGCATATATTCCCTATTCCCACACCTGGTTTATTTCTATTCTATTTTAGTTCTTGTTTATCAGCAGCTGCGCCAGTTGGCGACAAGTGGACGAGGGTAAACTGTAGGAGCGCACTAACGTGTTGGATCCACCGCCGTCTATGCCCAACGCCAGGTTTAATTCTATCATGTGTGCGATTGTCACGCCATTCGTATTCCTTTAATTTTCTTTTATCTACTTTACAGTCTACAGTTTATACTTTGCAATTTTCTAGATGTCTCGGTAGATAGCAGGCATACTATGCCACTAGTGACGTGGATCCGAAAGGATGAGAGTCATTTCATTGAGAGGAGACTATACTTGAATCCCGATAGCTCCCAAAAGCGGACAATGTGACGCAGAGTTCGGAGTAAGGTAAACTTAACATAAATCCCATGAAGGCCTACATTGATCTGGAACGTATAGTGATATGTGGAGAACCGTGATAGTGTCATACAACGTGCAGTATCGGCGTATTGACTTGGGTTGGTCTAACCTATTGCTGCATACTGCGAGGAGAACAATATGGTACCTACAGGTAGATTAGATAGCCTATCATAAGATATCATTTGAAAGACGAGTTACAGATGATCTTCAAAGGTCGAGCTTACGGTACTGTGTAGGGGCAGATTCTTTCCACTTGGGGGAGCCATTGTGGGAACTTACACGTACCCGCGATAATTGTAGCTGTTCACGTTGTGATGATGTTTTCAAGATTTATTTTCTATCACCTCGTATAAGACTTTATTCTTGGTTCTTGGGCTTACCCGAGGATATCCTATCTATCGGGAGCGGTGGTTAAGCTAAGGAAGGAGAAGAATGGTACGCTAGGAAGAAGATCATCTAGGGAACCTATAGTATGAACAGCTACACAAGTACTCTATACATACTTACTTACTTACATACACATATACATACAGATGCGAATATATATATATGTACATACTCCGTACGTGCTAGTCTGAGACCTAGGAAAAGCACGACGGAAAAGGAAAAGGAGGAAAGAAAGAAAGAAAATGTCTATAGGAAAATTATCCCGCAAAAAATCTCCTCCCTGAGTGTCAATTCACCAAGTAAGTAATGACTGGAATCTCTAGAGACGAAAGTCTAATTCCCCAGGATGACTGATCTATCAAAAGGATCTCAATCCTTTCAGTGGGGACGGATTACGACCCTTCATACTCAAGATTCTACGATCCTGGCTTAACCAAACCATGGTCTCTAGTCAAAGCTAGTTTGGTGGAAAGGTCGCTAAAAGCCGCCTGAGTACGATTCTCAGTCTCCACCGTCATGCATTTGCTCTTCCCACCCTTACGTATCCCATCGCTAATATTGAGATCTACAATTCACCCCAGATAGGATTTAAAGCCTCATGGGCCTTTTTTTTTTATATATAATTTATTTATTATTATTATTATTATTATTATTTAGTCTCTTACTAATCCTTCCGCTGCCGTCGGTAACTAATAGCACAGGTATGGGTCTAAATGGGGATATGGTGTTGTAGTAACCAACTGACTGGCTACTGAGCCATGTGGGTAAAATCGAAAGCCACGGGATATGCGATGAAGGCTGGGTTCGGCGTCCAGCACGTTCACCGCAGCTGGAAACACCATGCAGTGATCATCATACGTTTGATTGTCCCTTGAATTACGACAATTGTGACCCCTCAATAAGTGGACGGCCTTGACTCTAGATTGCACTTATCTTCCTTCTCCTCATGCCATCGGGCGGAGGTATAACCGTCCGATGGCATCTTGAAATCAACCACGTGGGGGTTGGAGCTAAGGAACTGATGCATCTGATGCTACCTCTAGGAATGGATGAATGGATGAATGAATGATAAATGGCTTCGTTACAACTCTCTCGGGATTTGAGTTTCATTTTGATGGTCAATTCCTGGGATCACACCATCGTACGGAGTACAGAGTTCCTATGGGTATCACAATCTGATCTCCAATGTACAATGAAGCAGCCCTGAGATATAGTACAAGGTAGCGAACATCTCCAGTAGCGTACCAGTACCTAGTACATACATACATACATACATACATACGTATGTACGTACGTACGTATCTTCTAGCTTCTCGGCAACGACGGTAATAACCAGGTGGGACTATTTCGGGGGGGGGGGGAAGGAGATGGAAATCTTACTCCCCCCAAAGGTGATTCTTACGAGGTGAGAACAATGCAGTTACTTACTCAGTGGTCTTCCTCCTCAAGTACTACTTGTACTTGCACATCCAATGAGGCGTGAACATTCGGATGCACTCCGTATTGCTCTCTCGTTATTAAAGTGTATCCCTTACTTATGATTTTCCTTTCTGCATTCTTAACTCTGTTTTCCGGTCTCTCCTCTTCTAATTCGCTCACCGTCCTGTCGACGCCCTCCTATGTACCAGATCGTTCGCCTACTATAGGTATGTACCAAGGTCTGCCTCAGTCCGTCGCTTCCACCTGGGCTCTGACAGGCGCTTGTCAACCGTCCGTACCCTAGTGGTGGCGATCGTAATTGTAATACGGAAAACTCTGGGTCTAAATTAGTTCCTACTAGCTAGCCCATAACCCAATCATACTTGAATTCTCCGTGGGTGGTACAACCGGAAGCTCCTAAAGAGAGGGTAGTACTGGGTAACCCAACCTTAGGGGAGAACACCGACGGGTAGTAACCTGGTACACCCGAAGAATAGCCCCTGTAAAAGATGGGGCATTAGATTAGAATTTCCTTTTGAGTTAGGGGTGCCGAGGACTTGTAGTAGTACTACTAAGGGAGGAGGGGGATCACAACCCTTTTATAGCTCGCCTCCATAATTTATACCCACGGGTATCGGTCGGTCGGCTCCGAGAGCTTTCCTGATAAGGCGCATCAGAAGAGCACTGAACTAGTATAGGATAGAGCAACCCTCTGTCAATACCATAACCCTTGGGCGTTTCCTTCTCACACGCCCACCGCTGGACTTCTCATAAAGACCAAATTATCTGAGAGTGCGTATATAATACCAATTAATACTGTGGCATCAACAATGTGGGATCCCACCGTGCAGGATACTAAACCATCCATAGGCTAGCGGAAATTTTTCCAAGGAAAAGGCTGTACGCCCAGTCGGCAATGATTGGCCAAGCCTCTAATCTAGAGCCCAAGGCACAGGCAGCTGGAGTGGGGCTCTCCGTTCCCCTCTCCAAATAATCTTGAGCGGAAGAGTGTTCAGTCGGTGGGCAACAAACCTCAGACTAGTCTTTACCCCAGCTGTTATCGACAAGCCAGACCCAGAAAAATGCCTGCCTGTCAATTTTTATTTTATTTTTTATTTTTTTCAACTCATATTTTCCTTTTCCCTTTTCCTTACTTTCTTTCTTTTTCTTTTTCGTTTTTTTCCTCCCTTTTTTTAGGAGGCATCTAAATCTGAAGAGTAGTATGTAGCACTCACTACCTTTCAAAGGTCTTTTTTCTTGGCAATCCTGGTACCCTGATAGTACCTACTAATAGCGATCGTATTTCAAGGGTATCTGTAAACCAACACACTTATTATATTGCTCCTCTGGCATACTAACTATTCTAGGGTAGTCTCTAACAATCGGATCAATCCTCCAGATCAGTGTATTGTACATACTTCGTACATTTGTAAGCAAGTACTGATGTACAGTATGCTCCCATAAGGTGTCTAGCCTTGTTACTTTGTCCGTTCTTATGCCTGGTAATGCTTTGTAAAACAAGTCCAAATTGATATATGGATTGACTTGAAAAGATGTCAGGCTCAATTCCATTCCCCTTCTGGCTTTCGTTCATTTTCAAAACTTCCACGCTGTATCTCCGTACGTTACGAAGAGTGAACACGAAGTGTAGGTTGGGACATGGATTCTTGCGGTGCGCATCCAAGGAGTATGTATGTACTCCGTACTATGCACCGTTTAAATTACAAAACGCAAAATCTCATTCATGAGAGGATGAGGCAGAAAAAGAAAGGGAAAACAAAAAAAAGGAGGTGTCGCCAGAGCCTGAGTGCTGTCAGCTCCTGTTTTTTCGCCTTTAATTTCATTTCATTTCATTCTTTTTTTACTTTTCATGTCCGAGAGTTATTGCCTCATTTCCTTTTCTCATATTTTTGTATTTTAATCCCGTTTCGTCGTCGTCTCTGGCTTCGTTATCTAGTTTATTTTTACTTCTAGTCGTCGCCTCCATACCGGACTAGAACGACATTTGGGGCCGACGTTTGTCTGTATCACCGTCGCAGGACGACTCCACCGATCCCGACAGCTTATTATCGTGACTATTATTATTAGTATTTATCATTTCTTTTCGGTTTTCTAAATTTCCTTTTTTCCTTTTTCTATCTTTTTTTTATTTTTACTTTTAATTTTTTTTAAAAAAAAAAACTTTTATTACTACTTTTTATTTTATTTCCTTTCTCCTGTCTGTCTGATCTTTGTCTCTGGCGCCTCCCAGTCTATATTTGATTACAGTCGGTATTATTGTGACCTCTTCTATATTCAGGTACTTCTCCCTACCTGCCCTGATAATAGGTACAGGAAATCAAACTTACCAGTGGGTTGGTTCTAGTACGACTTACTACTACTACGATTTCTTCCTATATTGCCGGGACTACTTATAATAATAATAATTATTATTATAAATAATCAATTTATTATTATAATTTTAATTATTATAAGTATTATGCTCCAGCCTCAAATCAGCGACTGCGGTTGCTTTTCCCAATTCGATCCATCGGCCTTCCTGTGACTCGTTGGCCAGAACCTCCCCCAGTCATCGAAAAAGCTGCTGCATGCCTTCTCGGATTTAATTTCTGTGACAGTCTCTCCACTTAATCGAGATTTGACTCCTCTCCCGGTCTTTCTCTTTCTCTTTTACGCCCTCCCTTTCCGTCTCGCTTTTCGATCCACTAGTTTTCCACTCCCGAGAAGCTGTTTTTATCTATCTACTCCATCGTCTCCAGTTCCCTTTCCCACGCCCCCCCCCTCCTAAGTTGTTGTCTATGTAGTTCTTCGTTTGGATTTCATTTCGACGCCTTCGATGCCTTGATTTCGTTTGCTTTTCTTTGGATTGTATTTCACATTCCCCCTTGCCGTTCGATCCTCTTGTGCTATACCCACCTCCAATTGTCTTGTTGTCCACTTAGATCTATCGTTGTTTGTTCATCTTGTGTCCCGGTATCCCCACCGCTGTCCGCTCCCCGCTGTCCCTATCGGCGGTTGTCCCGCTTCCCAAGATAGCCTTGAATATCCACGCCTTAGACAGCTACAGCTATGGCACCTGGCGGTGGACGAGACTTCAGCTGCTCCTGGGAGCATTGTGGAAAGGTGAATTTATTTTCCAGCTCTTCCCATCCCTTCCCCTTTCATATAGTGACCTAATCGTACTGATAATCCAAGTAGTCATTCAATCGCAAGTCGGATCTTTGCCGACACTATCGCATACATACCAACGAACGGCCTTACCACTGTACGGTGAAAGATTGCAACAAGAGCTTTATTCAACGGAGTGCGTTGACTGTCCATTCA